TGCGCGGGGTCGGCGGCGCGGCACGCCGCCATCACCAGCGACAGGTCGGCGGCCGACAGCGCGCGCTCGAACGACCCGTTCACGTCGCCGTCGAGAATCTGCTTGTTGATCTCCGCCGACTGCATCTTTGGAGGGAGTTGATGACTGGTGAAAATCTTACGACACTTAGAAAAAACAATACACCAGAAAGTAGCAGCTTACTCAGTGGCGGATTTACAGATTTGCCGCCCGTAGGCTGAGGGGTTGGATCTTATTTGTATTTGACTGGCCTGGCGAACATTGATAAATTCGTACTTTGTGTGTGTAAAAAAATATTATGAACTAAATCTGCCACCTCTTACAATTTACCGCCGTAGGCTTCAGCCTACTTAGCCTGCTGGTAAATCCACCACTGCACCCACTGATTCGGTATCTACTGGGACCGTTACGGATGGGGGGCTTTTTGTAATCTTAAAACTGCCAAATATTATAAACTGGCTGCGATGGCGTTTTGTAGCTGCGCAACTCATCGCTTCCCGTAGACAGGTCTGCTAAGAGGTGGTCCTGCAACTGCATCCTAAAATGACGTCAGTTCTTCAGCTCTTTGTCTAGCAACAGACATTAGCATCTTACCAGTTGGTCAATGATAGATCGTTCGGGGTCGGCCGGCTGCGGCGGGCTACTCGGGCCGAGCGGGCAGTCCGGAGGGTCAGAAGAGCCGGAGTAGTCCTCGAAATACTCCGCCTGCAGCTCCGTCACTATGATGTCGAGGACCTTCTGACGCCATTGCTTCAGCTCTTTGTCTAGCAGTCTGAAGAAACAGATGTTATTTTAGCGAGTAAGAAAAGATGTCATAATAAGTTCAATAAAAAAAACCTTGCACTGCGGTTCCTCGGAGTAATCGGACTCCAATACGAGTAGGGAACGCAGAAAAATATGAACTGCCTATTTCCCCCGGGCCGTCTTTAGCCCACTACCCAAATAAGAATCAAGGGGAAACTTTTCCTCTAAGGAAGGCCATACCACTATCAGTATGCACATGTTACTTTTTTTTAGAGCAGAAGGGGCTTTGAACGCGGGGCCCAGTAGGAAAGAGGGGCCTTTTTTTGTGGGGCCTACCCACAAAAACCCGACGGTGTCCTCCGGGGCCATTGAAACGAAGCTGCGAGTTAAGCAGGGTACTCATCTAGCCGTGTAGCATGTAATGTATCAGATACTGTATCAAGTGAGTACATAGGCACGAGCCCGCTGCTCGCGCGTGGCTCGCAGTAGGATCCAGGAGCTCGCAGCCAGATACGCGATGACCGTGGACGATGGACGTGGCCGTAATCACTTGAAGGTTGGCTACGTTACATGCTACGTTACGTGCTACATGGCAGGTGAGTACCCTGCCTTACTATTTCGATCTAGGTCTGCTGCTAGTCTAAAATGAATCCTACCGAATTTTGAAATACCTCCAGTCCTCCACGCATTGCGTGATAGTTCCAACTCAGTTAATGCAGTAGACTTACTCCTCCACGGTATTCCGCAGAGCGTCGACGAAGTGGGTGTCAGGAGCATCCAGGCGTGGCCTATAAAATGAATAATCCTACCGAATTTTGAAATAGGTACCTCCCAGTCTTCCACGTATTGCGTGATAGTTCCAACCCAGCTAATGCAGTAGACTTACTCCTCCACAGTGTTGCGCAGAGCGTCGGCGAAGTGAGCGTCAGGCGCGTCCAGGCGGGGCCTATAAATTGAATCCTACCGAATTTTGAAATACCTCCAGTCCTCCACGTATTGCGTGATAGTTCCAACCCAGTTAATGCAGTAGACTTACTCCTCCACGGTGTTCCGCAGAGCGTCGACGAAGTGGGAGTACTGTCGGGCGCGTCCAGGCCGGGCCTATAAAATGAATCCTACCGAATTTTGGAATATCTCTTTTCTATTGCTTAATAGTTCCAAAATATCTCGACGTGTTGCTTGATAGTTCTAAGTTCCAACCAGTTAATGCAGTAGACTTACTCCTCCACAGTGTTCCGTAGAGCATCAGCGAAGTGGGTGTCGGGCGCGTTCAGGCTGTGGGCGTCAAGCGCGCGCCACAGCTCGCGCGTCGTCTTGTGCATGTGACCTATTACTATACGTATACTTGATAGTTCCAACCCAGCTAATGCAGTAGACTTACTCCTCCACAGTGTTCCGCAGAGCGTCGGGGAAGTGAGCGTCAGGAGCGTCCAGGCCGGGCCTATAAAATGAATCCTACCGAATTTTGAAATACCTCCAGTGCTCCCACGTATTGCGTGATAGTTCCAACCCAGCTAATGCGGTAGACTTACTCCTCCACAGTGTTCCGCAGAGCATCGGCGAAGTGAGCGTCAGGAGCGTCCAGGCTGTGGGCGTCAAGCGCGCGCCGCAACTCGCGCGTGGTCTTGTGCATGTGACCTATTACTATACGTATACTAGATAGTTCCAACCCAGGTAATGCAGGACTTACTCCTCCACGGTGTTCCGCAGAGCGTCGGCGAAGTGGGTGTCAGGAGCGTCCAGGCGGGGCCTATAAAATGAATCCTACCGAATTTTGAAATACCTCCCAGTCTTCCACGCATTGCGTGATAGTTCCAATCCAGCTAATGCAGTAGACTTACTCCTCCACAGTGTTCCGCAGAGCGTCGACGAAGTGTGTGTCAGGAGCGTCCAGGCGGGGCCTATAAAATGAATCCTACCGAATTTTGAAATACCTCCAGTCCTCCACGCATTGCGTGATAGTTCCAACCCAGCTAATGCAGTGACTTACTCCTCCACAGTGTTCCGCAGAGCGTCGGCGAAGTGGGTATCGGGCGCGTTCAGGCTGTGGGCGTCAAGTGCGCGCCGCAGCTCGCGCGTGGTTTTGTGCATGTGCCGCGACAGCTGGGCCGAGTTCTCTTCCACTGCAATTTCGTACAGCAGTAAAGTAATCTTTAGGTATCCGGTAGTTACTGGAATACGTTCAACAATATTCGTAGCGCAAAAAGGAGATGCCATGATCCATATAACTATTTTCTGGCTACACAGCCAGAATTATCGGTAACATAAAACATTAATATTATGAAAACGAATTACGAAAAGAACGAATTTCGTTTCAGCCAAATGACGTCCACTGCTGGACAAAGGCCTGCCCTAAAGATTTCCAAAACGACCCGTCCTGCGCCGTCCGCATCCAGGTACCTCCCGCGATCTTCACCAGATCGTCGGTCCACCTAGTGGGAGGTCTGCCCACACTATCTTCCGGCTCGTGGTCGCCACTCGAGAACTTTTCTGCCCCAGCGGCCATCAGCTCTACGAGCTATGTGCCCCACCCACAGCCACTTGATTTTAGTGATTTTGCGGGCTATGTAGGAAAGCTCCCACGAAATTCCGATCGACCAGCAGACCAAGCACCGCAAGTGGAACTGGATTGGCCACACTCTCCGAAGGGACCCCGATCACATCCCCAAGCAGGCTCTGGATTGGAACCCCCAAGGAAAACGCAAACGTGCTCGCCCCAAGCAAACTTGGCGGCCTACTGTGGCCGACGAGGCGAAGAAGATCGGCAAGACTTGGAGCGAGATCAAACGCGAAGCTCAAGACCGAACGCGATGGAGGACTGTTGTGGACGTCCTCTGCCCCATCTAGGGGACATAGGACCGCTAAATGGGCATTTTGTAAAGCCTACTCCTCTTTTACTGCTGGACAGAAATAGTTGAAAAAAATGTATGTTATACAACAGTTCAAGGACTACATTTGTGACGTTTGAATTTTCGCTACGTGTCTTTGTTTTGGATTAAAAAAATAAATACGGGACATCGATTTTTTACTTAAATTCCCTACTCCTCCAAAACGTTAATGTTAATTTAAAAGATTTTTGCACGAATAGATTGGGAATTCTTTAATCTTTAAATGACACGTTGCGTTTTTCAATCGAACATTACTTTCATTCATAAATTTTACTTTTGATAAATTCCGAACGTTTTGCTGTTGAGGGGGCCTTCGCGGGGTGCGGGCGGCAGTCGGCCGCTGGCCTTCAGACGGGGAGGTTGTGTCACTCGCTACAAACTGACATCCACCCGAACAAACATTTATGTAATTACCTACATAGGTACATCATAAATTGCAAGCTAAATAAAAGCTTGTAATAAAGTCGGGTTTGTTCAAATTTCGAGAACGACTGAACCGACAAAAGCATTAGAAAAATTACAAAAAATAAAATAAAATTTTATCCCGCACAAAATGTTCATGGATTTTGTTATTTTTTTTAAATAGGTATTTAAATGTTATGTTATGCCTGAGTTAAATGACACCGACATCAAGGTTCATCAATTTAAGTTTAAAATAATAGGCAGTAATGTATGAAGAAAGAGCTTCTATTCTGTATCTACCTATGCCCGTGTATTTTTGATCGGTGTCAAATCGGAGTTTTTGGTGCGGGGTGCGCGGGTGTTGCTCGCGGCGTGAAGGTCAAACGCCCAAGGTCATTGAGGACTCTAATCGCCTTAAGTCAAGTAAGCGGGCTATGTCAGTCACTTTAGTTCCCCTGCGGAGTATTATAAGTCTTGTTCACGTAGGT